TTTTTTATTTAAGTTAATTTTTTTTATAAAATTTGAATTTCCTTTCAATTCAATACAACATGCTCGCAATTGTAATCGCTTAGTGCTACAACTGACGCACTTAAATCAAATTGAACACAAGCACGTAAAATCCGTCAAAAATTAAAAACTGAAGCAAATTGCCCAAATCAACATAAAACGCTAAAGTTTAAATAAACGAGCAAACACATACGTATTTATGTAAGTATGGGTACCATATATATTTGTAAGTATGTATATATGTATATTGAAAGCCTTTTGATAGTCAACGGCAATTTATTGAATACTGACTCATGCGAACAACACGCGATGAAAATTCTAATGAATAACGATAAACGCGCTACAAATGTATGTATGTATGTAGCACATACATACTCGCATGTATTGACAGGTAATTGCTGTATTTTTCTTAGACTTCAATTTTCAAATTTTTTTCACAGCCAATTAAAGCTGCCATGTGAACACGGCCGACTGGCGGCCTAGCAGTCAAGACCGCTATCTGTCAGATGGCAAATGGAAAAGCCGATACTAGACAAAAACCGATCGACTGTGCGAATGTTAGTACGTCAGGCGAAAAAATAGAATCAAAATAAAAATAATATAAGCCTAGAAAAAAGGTCTCTATGACAGGCAACAGCAGGGGGTTACCACCCAAAAGTACGGACGATTGTATTCGACTGCAATCAGATGTGAATATCGCAGTGGTAAAAGTATGTATATAACAGTACATACAAAATACATATGTATATGCTATGTATGTACATATATGTATTTAAATATATATATTTTGTAGATCTGAACAAGTTTCTCAGGTAGTTCGCGTGCGCGTCGGATGTGTGTTTAATTTATTGTTTGATTTTGCATTTGAGGCTTTTCGCTTTCGTTTTTCAGTTTTCCATTTAATTTTGCACATTTCATTGCGCGTCTACAGAGTGCTGGAAAAGCGTGCGCAGTTATGGTGTGATGTGTGCGTGTCAAATCACACGGCAAATGGAAATTTCAATGTGAATTTCATGCGTTAAATGTGTTGTTTGGTGTTGGCATTCGCATTCGAGTCAGTTGCTTGCCGATGGTTGCCCATAAATCCACAAATACTCTTTGTTGCATTGGCTCACACACTCACACAAATAYATACAAAAATTCGCACTCGACTATTTGAACAACAATGTTTGCACAAATATTTAAATGGACCGGATCGAAGCGTGTGTTTTTCATGCGCCTTTTAACAGCATTCTCCGCTTGAATACAATATGGAACTGATAAATTGGAATTAATATTGCATTAGCTTAAATGGTTAGTGCAAAGTGTCG